CTGTTCTTTGTTTTTGGTGTTGGTTTTGTTTCATGTAACAATGGCGTAATTATTGGTAAGATGCGTATATTTGTACGAAATATAAATATTAGTTATTCCTACTAGTAGTAGGAGCATTCTTCTTCCCCCAAGAAGTTCTGGTTCTGACCAACATACTACTTGTGCTTCTTGTTCTTATGATACTACTACTAGTACTACTAGTTCACAAGATTAAACATCATACTACTACTGCTGCTACTAGTAGTAGTACGACTACTAATAACTTTAAGATGAGGAGTAGTAGGTATTACTACTAGTAGTAGTAGTGGCTAATAGTACGAACACTACTAGTAGTAGTGCTAGTACTAGCATACACAGCCAAACACCATGCTGCTGTGGGTCCTCTCTAGTGCAGTTTGAACATTACATCCCCTTTCTGTGATCCTCTGCATGCATCCTGAGGTGTTTTTTCTTCCCTGGTTTTAGTAGTTCACTACCAACATCATTTCACAGTATCGTACTTGGTAGTACGAACTCGTCAGCAGCTTTTTCACCGAGACATCGCGAGGCACATTTTCGTGCCATGAGTTTCCTTACACGTGTAAACTCAGATACGCCAAACGAAAATCACCGAAAACAGAACGCAAACACACTTCACAAAACCCGTTCTCGAGAGAAAAATGCAACTACTCGTACGCTAGGTACGATAGGGGTACGTACCGTACGATTATTGATAATTGATAATGCGCATCGAAGACTCGTCGTGTCCTCGAAGGCAGATCAATGGGGAGCAGGAGAAGCTTCCGAAGGATTAGACAACATTTGAGAACAATTGTAATTCATTGAAATTGTTAGCTTGAAGATGAACGAAACCACAAGTCGTTATGCAGTTTGGAGTTATGCAACAGCTGTTTGTCTGGTATGCGCCATCAGCTTGAACGGAAAATCGGCGGTTGTTCACGGCTTTCTGGGGGAAAAGATCCATCATCGAAACCCGCAAGCAGTGGCATCATCCCTTCGCAGTTCGTCGTCCCCATTCGAGGAGCCTGCGGATGACCCTTCCATTCAATGGGATTTATTCAATACTCACCACGCGAAGGGTTCATGGAAAGGCGTATGGTAAGCTTGCTACTAGTTGCGACACTGCGTTTCTTTGTTGTTTCGATTTTCGTCTTGGTATTCATATTATTCCCTTCCTTGTTGCTGCTACCTTTTCTTCAAATTGATTGCCCATATTCGACCAATCTAATCGTAGGACCACATACGACTATATTGGCGATGTCATGGATGAGACAGTGGCAAGCGTCGATCTCAACCCAAAATCCAGCGAAGATGGACTGGATATCGTTGAGCACGAGCATACCATCGTGATCGGAGCTAAGAGGTCGGACTGTGCAACCTGTTTCGATTCCATGGAGACACGAACCCTCCCTGTGCAACAATATACACCCGACAATATACTGAAAAAATCACGGCTGGCCGGAGTATCGATGGTCAACGGGCCCTCCATTCTAAGGTCGGGCGCAATGGCAACCGAATTGATTTTAAAACACGGAGATGGTCGAATCCGTGCAACGTTCCATCATGCACCTGTGTGGGAACGAGATGTAGAACCAGGATCTTGTCCTCCTCAGGGCTTGAAACTTTTTCGTGCAATGCTTTCTAGGGAAGCTCTCAGGCCAACGGCTCCTACGGTTGAAACCGAAGCGAAAGATGTACCTGCAGATGGGAACCCTGTGTTCTTTCGACCCGTCCCTCCATTCAATTGGCATAAGAAATGGAGTGGAACGAGCTGGACGTGGGGACCTCAAAGCGGGAACCGTGGCTGGGCTCTTGATGATCTTGACGAAACAGACTCTTGGCAAGGAATCACTCCTGTTGATTGTTGGAACCTTCGTTTGCCTGGCGGAATCCACCTTCAAGCACCTCGCATCATTAACGACGCCTCGGTTGGCATTTGTCGACTCGCTTGGCTTCCAACTGATGAAACTCTCCTTCGAGTAGAAGCCGGCGTTTCTGCATTGCAGCCTATGGTGATGGAAGATGACACGATGGTTGGCTTCGAGCCTCCAGCGTTGTCAAGTTTGAGATGTGACATGCTGGAAAAAACTGGCGAACTTGAGAACGCCAGTAGACCATCAAGAGACTGGAATGCTGATGGCGAGGACGGTGAAACGCTTCAATCCTTGCAAAACAAACTTTCCTCCATCGAGGCCTTGGAGGAACGAAACTCTGCGCAATTGGATTCGTTTGTCGACCAGAATGACCAGTGGGAATCGTTGGAACCTGACGAAAGGGAATTGCTCTCATCCAAAGCAGAGGTGGTAAAAAAAATTGAAGAACTTTCTAATAAAAATACGAATGACATCGAACCTCCAAGCATCGACGAATCGAACAAAACAGTGAAAAAAATAACCAAAACTGATGACGCTACTGTCACTCCAGCAACTCCTCGTGATTACTTATCTTTGTAAAAATCATAATTATATTATTACAACATGTTTGCAAACTTCACATGCGCCAACTGTTTCTCTTCTGGTCATTACTGTTACTGTCGTCTCTAGTACCCTTTCTCTTCTCCTTGAAACCCTTTGATTCTAATTCGACATGTATTTGAGTTTGAGTTGGGTAATACATATTGGAAAACACTTTCCAGCAAACATCAAAAGCCATACCAGCAATAGGAATGAAGAGCATCGAAACATAATTCGTTGAACTGTTCAACAGAGTGTGCGGCACAACTCCATTCATGTTAAAAAATCCACCGGAAGTTTTCTCGGTAAACGTTGTTATTTTCTGTAATGCGATTTTATTGTTGCAAAGAAAACGAATCAGCTTTTTCCTGACTAATAAGGTTTTTTTTCGAGAGCAATTGCTGTGCACACTTACCTCGTAGATGGGGAGAAAAAAACAAGAATAGAAAAAAAATGAACCCAACAGAACCCCGTACCACGAGTATGGGATACGGCTCCAGAATCCCTCTGTAACTCCTTTCCAGCATGCAATGGCTGGCCATTTACCATTGATTATCGTACGACTTTCGTAAAGCACTTTGTACCCCAACAAAATGATCATGGAAGAAAAGATTACTAAACCGACAGTCTGTAAATCACTGCCCTCACCATCACCGACGCGTTTTTGATACCCCATTAAACCCGAATATGATGAAGTCCCTCCTCCACCATTGGCCAAATAAAAAATAGACCCATAATACAAAATCGCTATGTGCGACACGGTCATGAATATCCATCTGAAAAGGGTACGAAATGTGAGCACTTCATTCTGACGCGTTGATTGATAGACTTCCGGGTTTTTCCGAATGTAATCTTTCTCAAGACATCGGTCGAAAATTCCGAGAAAGAATATTGGAAAAAAGACGAGGAAATTAAACGTAGAAACTGCCCATTGATCGAACAACGTTTGTCCACTGTATAACGTTGACCCGGTGTACACGATTAAGCAACCTGCCATAACAGCATTTTTGTAGAATGAAAAACAAACGACGATTGCTTGTCGCATGAAATCCCACCTTCCATGAACGAGCAACAGAGTTTCAAGAAAGCGGAATTGAGAGATAGCGAAATCTGATGCATTTACTGCTTGTTTTCCTTCTTTGCCAGATATGCCGATTCCAACGTGAGCTTCTTGAATCATACCGACATCGTTCGCTCCGTCGCCAATAGCTAATGTGACCGGTTGTGGCACAACATGATATCGAACTAACTTCACTAGTAATGCTTTTTGCTTCGGGCTTACTCGACATGCAATCACAGCTTCACATTGGCTAGCTATATTGAATAAAAGTTCCTCCAGCTCATGATCCCCTAAGATATGCTTGAGGGCACTTCCTTCGATAATCAACGCTCTTGGGCCTTCGCCAGAAGGAGTTATAAATGGCTCCGAACCTGTTACCCTCTTCTTCCTGTGCTTCACCAAACGCCCCTTCCTAACATCGCGATCAACAGCAAACAATCTTTCCAGCGGAGTTCGTCTTTTCTTATCGAAATGGCTATTAGAACCATTTGCATTGAGGCAAACACTCTGCAATGATAATATATCCTCGTCGAGAACATTTTCTTGACCCGTGTTCTCTGCGAACTCTTGAGCTGTCAACTGTGATATCCCAATACTTCTCGTGTTCGTAATTGTTAATCCCTCTTGGCTATCACGCATCTCTAGCGCCGATCTTGCCGATTGCGCACGGTTAAAAACTGTTGGTAATTCATCGTTCGATAAGTCAAAGTTATGAGCATCTGAACTATGTGACAAAGGTACGTTCAGATTTTGCTTGTACGACTCAATGATCTTCTCAGCTCGATTTCTCACATTGCGGCGCCTCACATTGTCTTTCAACCTTTCTTTCTCTTCCTTCTGCTCAATTTTCAAATTTCTCATCGCATTATCTTGTGACTTTGACGAGAACCCAAGAGTTCTCCGGAGGAAAATGATAAATGATAAAGTGAGTGATTTGCATGACTGCAAAAACGAACGCCACATTTTCCTGACACTGAAAAAGGCGCTTTGTTGGGAACAATTTTTGCTTGACTGATCAACTGCCGCCCTCTGATACAAGGGAAGTTTACCAGCTTTGACGAGACGCATGAATTCCATGGCACACTGTGCACGGACAAAATCAACTCCTTTATCAGCAACTTGTGTAAGGTGCATTCTTGGTGTTAATACCTTCGTCGAATATCCGATCTCAATTGCAGTTTCTTTCTTGTCTCCTGTGAGAACCCAAAGTTTTATGCCAGCTTTTTCAAGAGTTGCAATTGTGTCCGGAACACCAGTTTGCAACTTATCTTCGACAGCTGTAGCTCCAACAATGTGTAAGTCCTTCTCAATCTCTAACGCTGCATTCTTCAGCATTCGGTCTCTATTTTTCAGAGATGAAGCAGCTATTTTGTATTTCTCAAGCCATTGATTGCACTCTGGATCTTGAAGAAAACGAACACCGAGAACTAGAGTACGAAGTCCTTCCGATGCAAATTCTCCTAGATGAGACTGGAGTGCTAGCATTTGGGCTGTATCCAATTCCGAATTGTCATTTTCGTTGACCATTGACTTTAGCTGATGCAATCTCTGTCCGTCACAAGCCGAATTTCCGGAAAACCAGGCTTTGGGTTCAGTGAGATCAAGCATGGCAGAGTCAGCCCCTTTGCAAAATAGAATAGCTACACCACCTAGTTCAGGAGGCGCACGAAGCAAAATTGACATCCTTTTTCTCTCAGAATCAAACTTGTTAACAGCAAGAATTTCCCAGGTTTCTGAGCGAGATGCTTTGGTGTATTTCAAACGTTCTTCAGTTCGCTGTTCCTTGAGCTGAACAGTTCCAGTTGCGTAATTTGATACGAGATTCTTCGAACTTATACCACCACTCCTTAAGCCCCTCACAAGTTTTTCATCACTTAAGACTGTTGGATGTTCGCATCGTAAAGTGATTCCAGAAGAATTACGGCTAGTAACCTGAAATCCAAACGTTTTGGACGCTTCTGATACAAGAGCGTTTTCGTCTGGACTCTCTGCTTGATATGCAAACCCAGCTGGAGCCCCATCTTTGCCCTTTTCAATTGAGTTGCTACTATAACATCCACCCCGACCATGAGCCATAGATCCAAGACTAGATCCGCTTCTGCCCTTTTCAGCAAAACCGAGAGGAATTTCAGCACCAGACGCGGGTTCTTCCGAGACAGTTCCCAAGGCGTTCGCACTAGAAGACGTCATGTCAGTTGCAGTACGTCCTCTGCCCTGAAAAAACTTTTTCTTCATCCAAGTTGACCCATATGAGCTTACGGATTTTGATTCTTCAATATTGCCACTGTTGTCTAAATCTTTTTCAACCACAACTGTGTGACATAAACTCATGACACGAACAAACATTTCGGCATTGAAAGACATTCCTTTGGATGCTAAAACCCCACTGCCGTCAGCTTTCGAACTTATTTCTCCTACGACAAGCTGTCGTCTAGGATGAAAACCTGGTTTTGGACTACTTTCGACATTTATATCTTGGGGTCTGACTTTTTGCACCGGAGCCCCAAAAATCATACCATCAACTGAGCATCTCTTAAACCTCATCACATTTTGTGTCAAAGTTCCAGTCTTATCCGAAAAAATGTATTGCACTTGACCAAGGTCGGTTATGTTTGTACTCCTAGCTGCAGCTGCAGTGTCTGTTTGTGGATCATACATTTCACCATCAACGTAGACGAGCCACAAACAAAAAAAGTTCACCATTTCAAGAGTCACATACATACTCAAGGGGACAAAATTACTCAAGAGTGTGGTAAACATGAGAAAGTTTTGAAGGACATTGTTCGAAGTATTGACCCATTCGGGTGGTGGCAAATTTGGTAAATACGGCCATGGGTTTGAGTTATGGCTATATCCTACATACCTGGAAATGCCAATATGATGAAGAAAAGAATACGTCAAGGTTGAATCAGTATAAGTTAAAACGGAATCAAATCGGTTCATTTTTCGTCCCCGTAGTTACTTACCATAGTTCATCGAAACTCTTGTCCATGGTGAAAACGGCCATTATACTAAGGTAAAGGATGCACATAAACATAAACAGGACAATCAGCACGACATATTTGTTGATCAGGACATCAATGCGGCTGAATTTTGATGGTGTTTGAAAAGAGTTTCTGATCAACTTTGTGTCATTTCCAGTGAAGCAAGAAAATCCCAAAACCCATTCTGTGTTGCGCAAAATCGCCCCCCGAAGTAATATGTTTTCAGCATCAAGAGGGATCTCGACGAACTCTCCCCCTCCTTCCAAAGGTGGCAGCGTCAACTTTCCCGAGAATGTGTTGATATGAGAATTGGGCGGCTCTGACGTTAGCGTTGCAATGTATTGATTGGGTTCATTTTCGGTTTCATTGTCGTCAATCGAGGATCTGAGAGACCTCCCTTTCCTTTCAAAACGGAAGGACTTCGAATCTCTTCGTTCAGTGTGCGTGGTATCAGAATGGCTTATGGTCGGAATCCCATTCGGATACGCTAAGGCAGAGAGCTGGGTAATTTTTTTGGTAGCCAATTCCAAAGACTGAAACGTGTCATCTTCGTCACAAGCATCTTTTTGTGATTCGTTGTTCAAATCATTACTCCTTGGATCTTTCAAAATTGCAGAGGGTATTTTAGGACTGTTTCGAAGTTTCAAGTTGGTTTCTCCGTCGATTGAACTTGTTTCGATGTAAGCACAACCATTTTCGCCACTCGACGCCAGAATTATTGTATCTGCTGGAACTGCTTCTCTATTTCTAATCAAGATAATATGACCCTGGCGGATGTTCTTCCGTTTTATTTTCTGAAATGCAACGTGCACTAAACTTGGGTTGCTTGTTACGGGTTGTTCAACTTCCCTACTCAAAAGCCTTTTGCTCGACCCCTCCAATAAATAATTCTTCGACAGGTTCACGATGACATCTTTCCCACCAATGATTGTGTTGTCTCTCTCTGCACCATCGTCTCGACCGATATCCTCACAACGCCTGACTATGATGCATTGTCCATTATTGATATCTGCATCACTTCGATGCCTTTTGATATCTGCCAATCCCTCAACTGTCAAACTCACACTAATTACTATGGACAAAGGGCCCAGCGTAGTCCACGGAGACATCGCTGTAGCAAAGTATCCTGTATACTGCCCAAGACACATAATAACTGCGATGCATAGAAAATAAACGTTTGCAAATCTCCGAAACTGCTCTCTCGTAGCCTGAGTAATTCGCAGTAACAAAAAGCAAAGCATATCGTGAGCTGTGAAATGCTGGTCGAGTAGTAAAATCTCGTATTTTTATTTTGCATTTAGTCTCCTTTTTTTTTACGTCGATTTCCGCTGTTGCTCCCAAATATACTGGCTTTCACTTACCATAGGCAGAAACGTCAATGCAGTGTATTTCGCGGTAACAACATTGTTGTCGCATCTCTCGAAATCTGGCCGCCCAGCCAATAACAAACGCTCGCTCATGTCGTCATCATAGTTGGGGTCTGAAAATAATCCCATTTTGAGACGCGTTTTCCTGAGGTCTCCGTCTACGAGCTGTATTGCGCTGGCGTTAGCTTGGGCGATGAGTTCATTTACAGCTTCTTTATTCTCACGAGTTTTCAAGAAACGAATTTCTGGGTGAAACGTAAATATTTATCGATTTTGTCGTCGAACTACATGCGAGTACGTACCGGTACCTCAATGTACAGGTTGTACGTAGATGTCTCGAAGTAGCTCTCTGAAAACCGAAAAACGGTAACGTAAATACATACCAGATTGTTACGAGTATGGTAGGGTAGTGTGAGTAAAGCATTGCAGCAATTTCAATTCGAACAGCTACAGTAACTGTTATTTGTACCGAGCGGTACTCTATGTACTTGTACCATAGGGTAGTACGTTAGAATGGTTTGACCTTACAGGACAGTACGTACGTACGGTACCGTGAAACATTTTTCTGAAGGCGCGTAGATTGTAGATTGTGAGACAGAGACACTAAAACCACAATCACGAGTAGCTAGTGAGTGAATAACCTCACTCTTTATTGTAAACACGTATTCATACGACACTAAGGAGCCTACCACTATTTCAYAKGTTATGAGCAACAACAACAACCTCTGCTCGCATAACCATCATCAGCATCATCAACAACACTACATACACGTATTCATACGACACTAAGGAGCCTACCACTATTTCACATAGATGAATCTCCCTTGAACAATGAGTTGAGAATGTCAAACTAGAAGATACATAGATTCAAGCGTTGTCGTAACGGACAAGGAGAACATTCTGTTTTTAAGAAAAAAAGGGGATATGATTTTTTACAGCAACGCCTGCTTCTTTCGGATACTGTAATAGAAAACGTTGCTCATTTTTCATCTTCAGGCATTCGTTCCGACAGTCTAGACAGCACAGAAGCACCAATCCCATCTTCTCGAAAAAAATAAAAATAAAAATATACGTTGCCTTATGTAGAAATTGAAATTGAAGCTGGGAAAAAGCGCCCTCTTCGTGAAAAATGTCGCGCACGAAGTCCGGTCCGGTCTGCGAAACTTCCACACACATTGGGTGATTCCCGATATTCTAAATACTCGTACTCCAGAGCACTAAACGTGGGATCTAGAGCTTTTAGATTGACGGAACCAAAATTTCAACAGACAGACCGAGAGGAAGGCTGACTCGATGCCAGTATTTTTGGGAATTTGGAATCTTAAATAGTTCAACGCAAAGACTAAAAAGAGGCACACGCTGCCACTTGGTACAAAGAAAAACATGAAATTTTCAATCCTGGAAAATTTTATTTGTGGGTAAAGTAGAGTATTTTGGGCTGGGTACTTCGTCCAGTCCTAAATATGCTAAGTCTGGAGTCACATGCTCTAAATTATTGGTCTATCACCAGTCTGTCAAATTAGAGATTTTAGAATAACAGGAGGAATCACCCATTAGTTCATTCCCAAAAATATTGATGTCTTTTTTTGACCAAGCTACAACCACCACCAGAATCTTTTAATTTGAGTGCACGAAATAACGTGTACTGAATTGTTTTAGTAGTAGTAGTAGTAGTAGTAGTAGTAGTAGTAGTAGTAGTAGTAGTAGTAGTAGTAGTATTTAGACTGTATCTAAATTAGGATTGTGAGACTAAAACTAATAGGAAATAGTTAACTCAAGGAATCCATCAGTCTACACGCTTTCCTGTGTTATACTGGATTCATTGAGTTACAATTGATAGAATCGATAGTAGAAATATACATCCAAGCAGTACTGCTGTCTGTAGGATATCAGACCGTGGGTATGATTCATACATACGACACATACATATGATACGTATCTACAATTCATACACACCATACATATATGACTCACGCAATCCC